TATTACATATATAAAGTACATATATATATATATATATATCATATATATATATATATATATATATATATATATATATATATTTATATATATATAATATATATATGGATATATATATATATATATATATATATATATAAATGTATAAATATAAAATATATATATATATATTGTATATATATATATTTAAATATATATATACATATATACATATATATATATATATATATATATATATATTTATATATATATATATATATATATATACATTTATATATATATATATACTGATATATATATATATATATACATATATATACACATATATATATATATATATACATATATATATATATATATATATATATATATATATATATATATATATATATATATATATATATATATATATATATATATATATACATATATATATGTATATATTTATGAGATTGTCTTTAATTAAATTATGTACATTATTTGACTATTGTCCTCATCTCTGACAGCTTCTATTTATTACAATGTTTTGGTCGCTTCAGATGGTTGGAATGTCAAACTGAACCCTTAATTTCACTTACTGGTGTAGACTGTTCTAGTACCACCTGCCATGTTTTAATGGATGTCAGGCTCAGGAGACTTTTGCGGCAGGAGGAGGCACTCTCAGTAGTCAGAGACAGATTAGCCTCTGACTCATCCTTAGAAGAACAGACCAGTATTACAATAGATAATCCGATGGAGATGTTGACTTTCTGTACACAAACATCACACTTCAGATTGGGATCACATATATATCAACAGGATGAGGGCTTAGCAATGGGTTTGCCATTATCAGCAGCAATGGTGAATATATACATGGAATACTTTCAGGAAATGACATTGGAATCTATATCTCTAAAGCTATAGACCACACTAGGAAGATGTTCAGGTTCTACTGGACCATGTGAACTCAATAAGACCTTCTATACAGTTCACAATGGAGAAAGAGAGTAACAACACACTCCCATTTCTGGATGTGCTAATATCTCGAACAGAGCATGGGTTCAAGACATCCATATACCGTAAACCGACATTCACTGGACAGTACCTTAGTTTCAACTCCCACCATCCATACAGTATAAAGAAAGGACAACACTCAGAAAACAGTCTGCCTGCCTTATGTGGAGTCATCAGAGAAAATACAAAGGATCTGCGGTCCATATAACATCAGGACAACCTTCAAAAGCATGACGACACTTCGCAGATATCTCTCCTGAGTAAGACCCTCCCCCTAGAGGTGAACATGACTAAAGACTCTGTGTACACTATCCCATGCAGCTGCAGAAAAAAATATAAAGGGGAGACAGGCCACCTCCTTAAGGTAAGGCTTCAAGAACACCAGAAATTTGTAACACGAGGGGAAGTGGAAAAATCAGGCGTGGCTGACCATATATGGAGAGAGAAGGAAGATCACTGCCCTCTGTTGAAGCAGGTTGAGATCATAGACAAAGAACACCATTGGGAAATTCGTAAACTTAAGGAATCAGCACATATGCTAGGCCACAAAAATTTCCTGAGCCGACCAAGCATATAAATGAATACAATATGGGAATCAGTAATAAGGAGTGCCAGAGAAAAGTGATAATAACAACAAAGATTGCAATATGAGCTCTGGTAAAAACATGTAATGATAACAGCAAAAATTGCAATATGAGCACTGGTAAAAAATGGTTGCTGAGACATTAGGTTTATAATACCCAGAAATTCATACACAGATGTCTTCAAGGCACAGTGGATAAAGGTGTTGGTTAGATCCAGTGGCAGGAACCAAAGAGTGTGAGTTCAATACCCAGTTAAGGCAGTGGAGAACTTTCAGAGGGGAATTAACAGGAGATAACTGATAACTGACATCCAAACAAACATGGCACGTGGAACTAGAACAGTCTACACCAGTGAGTGAAATTTTAAAGGGTTCAGTTCGACATTCCAACCACCTGAAGAAGGATGAAGCATTGTAATAAATATGGTGACAAAGATGAGGACAACAGTGTAAATAATGTGTGTGTATATATATATATATATATATGTATGTATGTGTGTGTGTGTATATATATATATGTATATATATATGTATTTATCTTAAATAATTGTCATACTTTGTCCATTTCATAATGTATGTATGTATATATATATATAATGTCATCTTCAAATACATATTATTGTAATTGTTTTATTATCTTCAAAGTTTAAATGCTTATTATACAATTTTTAGTAAGCTGCAAAGAAAGTAATAGCAAGTTCCTAACTAAATAATTAATAAAACTTATTAAAATAATATAATAAAACTTATTAAAATAATATAACATAATAGTAATCAAGATATCTTCTATAATTGTGTGAAGAGCCATAAGTATTTTGGGCTACATCACGTTGAAACACCAGTTCCCATGTGATCACTGAAGTTAAGCAACATTGAGCCTGGTCAGTACCTAGATGAGCGACTGCTTGAGAATTGCAGGTGGTGTAATGTATAATGACTTGGAATTGTTAATTGGAGAACTGAGTTTCAGTTCCTATTGGGTTCATTATATTCACTTACATGCAAATATCCTTGGGAAAGGTATATCTCTACATCTTCTCCTCCCAGCTATGGGTTAATTAGTAAGATTTGTATCACTAAAACCATTATTATCACCGAAAAATAAAATAAAATAAAAATTGTGCACAAAAAATTTAGATTTTGGTATTAAATAACCCATGAAGTTTGATATGCCATTAGCAAAAACAACTAACCAGACATAAGCATTTCAAAAATTGTTCAAACTACTGAACAAAATTTTTATCAATCCATTTTTGTAGCTTTATTCAAGTTTACAATCTTTAGAGTAAAAAAGGATTCACTTTTTAATGGGAAAAAATATTGATAAATGATAATAGCTAATATTTGGATGCCTTTGGAAAATGTATGAATCCATCTTCTTTCAATTATAGGTTAAATAGCAGAGTAGACTTGGCTCTCTTACCTTGAGTAGCAGCCAGTCTTGGAGAAAAGGGATAGTCTCCATCATATTATATTGCCTTAAAGACATCCACTGCTACTATGACTGCAGTAAATGTAGAGTCCCTACAGACATAAGGGGTTAAGGGAGTTGTAATCACAATCAAGTATCAAATATATTTACTTATTCTTGGTGTGGAGTAATTTGAAGAATATTCCCAGATATAAATATTAAATCACTGGTGTGAAAAAGGTTGTTCAGAATGGATACATCTATGTGGCACATGTTGTTGGAAATGAGCCAAGTCAGTCAATATATTGAGGCCATGATTTCTTTTTTCTTTGGTAAATTTTATTTTATTTTTCTTCTTGGATTGTACATCTGAAGGAATCTACTGAATGAACCAGAAAAAAATGTTGTCTAAGCAATACAAAGAATGAGTTCATGAGTATGTACAACCTTCAGAATGATTATGACACTATATATACACTATGTAGTTTTTTTTTATACATGACTCTATAGCTAGCATTGGTTTTGAAATAATAGCTAATATATATATATATATATATATATATATATATATATTTTTTTTTTTTTTTCTAAACCTCATCAAGAAACATTTCCCAACCCAGAAACTAACCCACTTAGCAAAATATTTAATCCTAATACCCTGAAATTAAGCTATAGTTGTGCAAATAACCTAGAGAAAATAATTAAAAAACATAACAGAGTCTTTAACATGTATAGGGATTCAAAAAACTTGACTACTCACCAGGTTGCAAGCAGCACTACAAAGTATAATAACACGAATAACAACTTGTGCAAATGTAGGAATCCAAATAATTGTCTACTACAAAATAATTGTTTGACTAGGTCTGTAGTTTATCTTAGTACAATCTCTTCACTCGAAAACCCAAATCTAAAAAAAATCTCCATTGGTAGTACCATGAATCCATTCAAGGAACATTGGCGGGGGCATATGCAATCTTTTAATAACAGTAATTATAAGTACATGACTTCATTATCCAAGTATTTTTGGAGTCTAAAAGAAAAGAATAAAACACCTACTGTTAAATGGAAATTAATCAGGAAAGCCCAGACATGTAACTCCCTCTATGCCCCGTGTTATCTATGTCTTAACGAAAAATTTGAAATAATTAGATTTAAAAATAAGATCCATCTCTTAAATCAAAGATATGAACTAACAGTTAACTGTAAATACTATTATAAATTGTATTTATTATAGGGGTTGTAATACTTTCAATGATAATGATATGTCATTGTAAATTTAATAGGTTATTACTTTTATGACCTGATAATCCTCCTGTTGATATGGGTGTGTGTTGGTATACGTATACTATGTTGTTCATGTCTGTATGCCTGTGTGTGTTTTTGTACTTCTGGATGTGTATATATGTAAGTAGAATTTATATATATATATATATATATATATATATTAAAAAGTAAGTAGTTAAAAAGAGGAGAAAAGGAGAGAGGATAATATATATATATATATATATATATATATATATATATATATATATGTCCAGATGTATTGTGTATATATATTTCTATTTATGTGTACTTGTATGTATGGATATGTTTATGCATATATGTAGGATACATGTATATATGTGTATGTATATAGTTGAGTATGTATGTGTTTATGTGTATGGGCATATATGTATACTTGTAATAATATGTATGTATATATATGTTTGTGTGTGTGTGTGTGGACACCTTTCATATGTGAGCTTGTTTGTGTGTGTATATATATATATATATATATATATATATATATATATATATATATATATATATATATATATGCTTGATGTGTGCATACTATATATGTGTATATATGAATGTGTTGATATGGGTATTTATGAATGATTATATATCTGTATATGTGAATGTATGTTTGTATTTCTTTGTATATGTATGTATATCTTAGTGTCTGGTAATGTATCAGCAATACTAACTAAAATTTACCTTTGTTTGATAAGGGTTTGTTAATTGCTTATAGACTTAATCAACAATTGTGTCTTGTTACATTTTAAAATTATTATGGACTCTACTGTAATTTATCATCAATAGGATGATATTGTTAGAATATGTGTATGTTTATGTATGTATATACCTATTTATGTGTGTGTATTTATATATATATATATATATATATATATGGATGTGTATGTGTGTGTATATATGTATATATATGTGTATGTTTAAGTCTTTGTTTTTTTATATATATATATATATATATATATATATATATATATATATATATGTTTTTATATATATATGTTTAAGATTATATATGTATATATATATACATATTTTATGTATGTGTATATATATATATATATATATATATGTATTTATGTATGTATGTGTGTATGTATGTATATATATTTATATTTGGTTTGTTTACTTTTTTAAGTTGCTGTGTAGGTTGATATATTTATGCTTGCTTTTGTAGGTGTATATATGCATATGCGTATGTGTATGTGTGTATATGTGTAGATATATATATGTGTGTATGTGTGTATGCATGTATATGTATATATGTGTGTATATGTTTGTCTATAGGTTGGCTTTTCTGTACTTCTGTCTGTAGTGATGAATGTGTGTATAATGTACACATATATTTGTAGGTAGTTCTTATTTTCTTTCACCTAATGTACAATAAGGCATATATAGACATATATGAAAAATATATATTTTTATATATATTTGTGAGTTTGGAATTTTCGTTTTTTATATATTAGATGGTGTTATTTTTATACGTATGTATCTGTTTTAATGTCCTTTCTTTCCGTATTGTTTGTTTCTCTGTTCTATTAGACCATTTTTATCTATTTATATTTGCCCGTATAAGTTATATTTTTATCAGTGGTTAGAATTTGTTTAATAATACCTTCAATCTTGAATATTACTTGGGTGTTATATCGGAGTGTCTATGTCAATGTATGTGGGTATATGTACGTGTCTTTTTCGATGTCTGTGTATAGTAACTTGCATGCACTTTTCATTGTGTATGTGTGTGGTTTTAATTTTTTTTTTGTAAAAGGTCATGCAAATATTTTCTGTCTCATCACTTTTTTGTGTGTGTATATATCTAAATATGTCTGCATGCTTATGTATTATAATCTGATTGTGTTTGTATTGTCTTTCACAAGATGTCATAATCCCATGTCTACACTTGTATCCATGTTGTCATTAAATTAAGGGCAGTCGATCTTAACGCTTATTCCAACATAATTTCAATAGAAACAAAATAAATAGAATAACATGTATTTTTTCCATTTTACTCAATAATTTTAAAATTTTAAACTTAATATAGATTAAATTTACATTTTTGAAATGGGTAGTTTGTAATTTTAATTTCAAATTTTATCATACAATTTAATACTTATTAGTTAGAATAAATTCTATTTTAGTAAACTCCAGCTTTAAAGCATTTAATAGTTATTATAACCTTACTTCATTGTCAAGTTTTTTGAATTCTCATATACTTGTATTTTGATTGGTCATTCCAGCTCATGTAACAGCCCCTTACGAGGGGTGGCTAATTAATTTGAACCTTTTAAAACCTTTATTCTTCAATCTACATTCAACATCATCACTTGATAAGACACCAGAGGTGTTGAAACAAAATGGCTATTGTTGTAGTGATTTTATAACATATTTATGTTATAATTTTTAAATAAATAATTATATTCGCTCTACTCTGTATTGAGCACTCTTTTAAGAATAGTAATTGTTGGTTATTGGAATTTATTCCATATACACCAATCATATACTTGGATATATAAGTATTTCTCTAATAAGTGTTATAATGACTGCAATTAAATGAAGAAAAAATATTCAATTCACAGCACAAATACTTATTTTTCAACATAATCTCCTTCCTTGTCAATGCCCCTAATTAAATGGCGAATATTAATATTATAGATCAAACATTTTACAGGGAAGATTCTAGGTCAAAATTCAGCTAATAACTGTGTCAGGATACAGGCTTATTGATCTAACCTCCCATACCCAGTCATAGATAGATAGATAGATAGATAGATAGATAGATAGATAGATAGGAAATACAGGAATCAATAGTGCATGTTGACTGTCAGAATTATACCTCAACACCCACCAAGAAGCACACACTGAGGTATGAAAGTGACAATCAACAAGCAGTGTTAATTCCCGTGTTCACATGCTCTATCTATCTCCAAAACTATTCCTATATAAATATAACAAATTTTAAACAATATATTTTAACAATTTATTTATAACATGCACACACATCATATATGTGTATGTATGTGTGAAAAGGTTTCCAGTGCTCTTTGTATAAAATTAGAGACATAACACACAGTCAATTGAAAAACAGATTTTGAAAATATTATAAAATTTCATCCTCCTGATCATATTTTTCAACTAAACAAATAAGAAAAACTACCTTACTTGAGGACTTTCAGCAACAGAAGCAGTTAAAATGGATAGTACAAGTAACTCTAAGAGAAAATGA